CCCCCCCCGCCCTCCCTTGGCTACGCCACCGAGACTCCTGTATGGTGGCCTATCGTTTTCATTCAAAATATTTCAGTAAAAACAAACGCAAACCAATAAAAAGTTAAAATAAATGAAATATAAAGCATCATAAGAATGAAAATAAAACATTTTTTTATTTTAAAGTTAAAGTAAAATGAAAATAAATTTATTTTGAATATAAAATGATTTAAAATAAAAGTAAAATGAAATTTCAAGCAGCCTATCGTTGTCACAGTATACCATAATGCATTACGCCAATATATCTTACAAGAAACAGTCCAGATATATCTAGAGCTCACTGGAAGCAGTAAACACTATATCCATGGTAAACACCTAAAACACGCACGCTTCCAATATGGCGTATTTTCGGAATGCAGATTGGAAGGAAGACGACGCTCTTAAGAGTGATTTACAAAAGTATGTGAAGGAAGACCTGAGAAGAACTGAGATTTTGGATTTCGTGAAGAGAGATTTCTCGCAGTATGTTTGGAGTTTATCTTCGCTGGATCGCCGAATGCGGCATTTTGAGATATATTATACTGACAATAATGTAACAGTGGAACAAATCAGAGCTGCTGTCGAAAAAGAGGTAGACGGTCCTGGAAAATTACTGGGATACAGAGCCATGCAAAAGACACTGAGACAAACGCATAATAATATAATAATTATTAAATAATAATTTATAAAGCGCTTTTTACATGTAATGATCAAAAGCGCTGTATTACAATATAACTAATGTTCAATATGGTAAGCATCACTTAAAAAGAGTAATAAAATGTTGAAATGTTAACTTTGATATAAACTAAATATTAAAAGCTAGTTTAAAAAGATGAGACTTAAGATGAGTTTTAAAAACGCTTATTGACGAAATGTCACGAATTTCTTTCGGAAGTTCATTCCAAAGTTTCGGAGCTGCCACAGTGAAAGATCGGTCGCCAAATGACCGTAAAAATTTACCCTTAGGGAACTCTAGCATTATGCTATCATTAGAGCGTAAAAGGTAGTTTCCTTCCACTTTGACAACAAGTAGGTCTACCATGTACTATGGAGCCATTCCATGTAAAGCTTTAAAAGTAAGCAATAGCAGTTTAAAATGGATCCTGAACTTCACAGGTAACCAGTGTAGTTCACGTAATATAGGTGTAAGGTGATCGTATTTTCGTGTTGAAGTCACTAATCTGGCAGCGACGTTCTGAACCCTCTGCAACTTAATCAATTCAGTATTAGATAAATCATACAGGAGACCATTACAATAATCTAGTCGACTTGTAACAAAGGCATGTATAACAGTCAACAGATTCTCCCGAGATGAAAACTTGCTGATGCGTTTGATGTTGTGAAGCCAACAGAATGCGGCACCAAATGTCCTTTGTTATATGACATGACATTGATAAATTTGAATCAAGCCGAACTCCTAGATCACGAGCTTTTGGTACAGGAAGGACATCGGCATTCCCGACACGTACAGGGCATGGGTTAAGTTTCTGCAGTTGCTGCTTAGATCCAATTATTAGCAGTTCAGTTTTACCATCATTTAGTTTCAATTTATCTTGAATCATCCATTCCCGAAGATCGTTGACACAGCTTTCCATTACCGAGATCGCTTCACATTGATTGCATGGGTAGTCAGGTTTGAATGACACATACAACTGAGTGTCATCAGCAAAACCATGTGAATCTGGCGAGTGATTGTTAATAATATCGAACAGTTTGCAGGCATATAATATAAAAAGAAGAGGCCCCAAACACGAACCTTGCGGGACACCAAAGTTCAAATCAGATGAATCAGAAAGGGTACCATTTAGCATAACACGTTGACTTCGACCAGACAAATAGGAAGAAAACCAACTGAGAACTTTTCCACGTATTCCAAATTTCGACCTTAAATTAACCGTTCCAGCAAAATTCCATGATCAATTGAGTCAAAAGCGGAACTTAGGTCCAGAAGAACCAAGAGAGTGACACGTTGACTGTTCATTCTTAACAAAATATCATTGAGTACTTTGAGTAACGCAGTCTCTGTGGAGTGATACCGCCGGTAAGCAGATTGCAAAACTGGATAAAAGCCACATCGAAGAATATGACCGTGCGTTTGATAAAATACTGCTCGTTCAATAAGCTTTGAAATATATGCTAAATTACTGATGGGACGAAGATTTTCCAAAGCGAACTCCAACCCAGACTTTTTTAAATATAGGAAGAATGATAGCTTCCTTCCAGTCTCTAGAAAGTACCCAGTTTCAAGTGAAATATTGATTATTTTTGTAATCACAGGAAGTAACACATCCAGACATTTCACCAAGAAATCTGTTGGCACTGGATCAAGCTAACAGGATTTTTTGTGTGAGTCCACAACAAGTTTTCTAACATCATCCTCAGACAAGAGCTCAAACGCATCAAAACGCGATCCATCACCCGGATACTCCTCGTTGTCATCACTTGGCCATGGAGGATCTACGTGACCATCATTATTTGAAGAAATCTCGTTATTTATCTCAGAGTGGATATTAGAGATTTTCTGAACAAAATATTTGCCAAGTTCGTTAACGAGAGCTGTTTCATTACGTCGGGGGAAACCTTTTGCTTTTTTTTCCACTAGCATTCCTTTAATAGCTTTGAAAAGAGTCCCTTGGTTATTGCTGTTTTCTTTGACAAAGTCAGAGAAAAAGGGGCATTTTGCTTTCCTCATTAATTGAGTACAATGGTTTTTCAATGATTTAAATTTATTAAAATCTGCCGTCTTTTTTGTAGTCCGCCAATCTGATATACTAAACTTATTTAAAACTATCAGCGCCCATATTGCACATTTGACTATTGTCTCAGTGACACTCTTTAATTGAAATAGCTGTATAACTAGTTAATACGTCGTTGCATCCATTACAAAAAAACATAAATCAAAAACACAGAAACGTGAAAATGAGGCGAAAAAACGCATTTAAATGACGCATTTTATCCCCATATCCGTTCCGCATCCGCTCCATGGATCCGCTCCGTTCCGCATCCGCTTCCGCATTTTAACCTAATTGTGACATGTTTCTCAATAACAAGTCTCATTGACCTTTGACCTTTCTCAAGGCCAAGATCAAGTTGTTTTTTATGAGTCATTTTCAGCTTTTCGCAAGTATTCAATAATGTCACTTTAGATGTCAATACAGTTTTACAGTTATAGCAGTGTTTATAGCAGTTTTGATAAAGCTTTGATACAGATAGATTCTCGTAAGATCTGGTAGAGTTCTCGTTGCATTGAATATTGCATTGTGCCATTGAACACCAGTTTGCAACGTTGTGCATGTTGCACCATTGTTGCACCGTTGTGCGTTTGTTGGTTATTTTCTTCGCAAACGCCATACAATGATATAAACACCCGCTTCTTTTTAATAGTTGTTTATGCTACTGACTGATTTTTTGCTCTTTGTACTGAGTGTAACCATCTACTCTGTGGTGTAGCAGTGTAGCACCTTCAATATGATGAATATACGGTCTAAGCAATATAATGTATATCGGCACTTAAAATATTAATTGAATGCTGGTAAAATACAAAACATCAATTTATGTATTGCGTAGAACTAGATTCTCAATATTCTGTTATTTATGTCTGAAATGTTTTATATAGATATATATTTGAAAACAATACTGTATCGTTCCTTCCTAGCTCTGCATAATGAATATACCGTCAAAATAATATCGAAACTTAATTGAATGCCGCGAATCTCAAAGATGTTCTCAATATTTACGTCTGAAATGTTTATACATTTGAAAAAAAGCACTGTCTAGCTCCTTCCCAGCTGTGTATAATTTATTTATTTATTTATTTATTTAGCTTTGCCAACTAGGGCAGGGTCACCACAACAGCATATGCCAATTACTGTGGGCCCTTTTTACCTAACCCACCCTGTCAACTTTCCCTGCGGGAGGAAACCGGAGTACCCGGGGAAAACCCACGGCTTTCGGCAGAGCGTTGACTTTTACTCTTTTCACATGGGGACTGGGTTCGAGTCGCACTGAGAAGGTACTTAGTGTGACTCGAACCTGCAGCCTCAAGAGGTGAAAGGCAAGTGCGCTAACCACTTGGCCACCGAAGCCCCTTAAATGAACATATGAACAATAATGAACATATCGTCTAAATAATATCGGTACTTGATTGAATGCCCAGGGCCCAGGCCCCATAATGCATAACATCAATTTATATATTGCGTAGATTCTCTATTAAATGTCTGAAATATTTATATATTTGAAACTACAACACTGTGTCGCTCCTTCGCAGGCATCGTCACGCCATCGTTCATCTACGGCTTGATAGCGCATGCGCATTTGAGCGGCTAAGGAAAAAATCGGGTGTTCCAGGGGAAAGATCCTTTACACAAGACCAAACTTGTGCCAAAACCCTGCATATATTCACATATATATGTCATACAGTTAATTAAAGAAGTAAATCATTGGAAACGATCAAAGCATCATGCAGAAATTGAATGATTAAAAATTCCTAAATCATGGAGATAGCATGGATGTAGTATGTAGAAACAAAGCATACTCATTAAAAGACCCATGTGGGATTTGCAAAGGCAATCATATTCAAATGATCGACCGAGTAATAACTTCTAAACAAGTAAATTACGTGTAGATGAAAGCTAAAAGAAGTAGGACGTTAAAACGCCACCTCACCGAGTGCGAAGAAACACATGACATTGTAGGGTCGTGGTCGTGGTAAGGAAAGAAACTGTGGACATGCAGGTTGCTATCAAAGCAATTACCAACCTCGTACCCAGGGCCTTTGCGCGGTTCAGAGGCTCTGGTACGGGAAGCAAAGGCCCTGGTAAACACTGGTCACGTGTGTCCAAAAATATTGGACATTTTTGTAACCTGG